TATACACACACACACACACACACACACACATCCTTATGGCTAAACCTCCTGTTAAAAGATTTCTAGTTTTTTCTAACCACTCATTTTTAAATGCCAGTTTACAGGACTCAATAAATCACACTGAAATGCACACACAAACACACATAATGTGCCCTCCTCCTTAGAAGGCTTCAATCAGAGATAGGGTGTCTGAAATCAAGCAACTTCTGTTTCATGGTGTACCTGTTGCATATTTCTCTAAACTTCCTGTCTGGTAAAAAACATTATCACCAGGATAGTAAGTAAGGGGAAATCTCTCTAAAGGTGCATCTCTCTAAAGGTGCCCATACACCTTACGACCATCGCAAGACTTCCGTCTTGCGATGGTCGTAAGCTTATTAAAAGCTCGTACGATCTGCCCATCTTGGACAGGCAGATCGTACTTGCGATCATCGTAAGCCAGCCCCGCTGAGGGGCGGGCTTCCGACTACCGCAATGCTGAACGGGCAGTGTGCGCGTTCCGCAGTTGTCGAACAAGCAGGCTAGAAAACCGCAGAGAATCGTACGCTTCTCAGCGGGTTTTCTAGCATGCTGGTTCGACAAAAGACGTGCGACCGTACAGTAAAAACGGTCGCACGCCTTCCATACACCCTGCGATTATCGTACGATCGCGGGATTTCCCCCTGATTATCATGCGATAATCGCACGGTGTATGGGTACCTTTATGTAGTTCTGGACAGCAGTTAAACTAGACTGGGGGTGTTACAGTGAATTTGGCATTTTTTTAATGGTTTTACCCAAATGCAAAGCCACTATAAACAATGGCAGTTCATAATCCCCAGTGTTTGGTGCAGTGTTGTCATTACCTTAAACTGTTCCAGGAAGAGCAGTAAGAAAGCCAGCTGATGCCGGGATATAACACATGAAACAAAATTTCCCAGACCATAACAGACACATTCATAGTCTTGGAGACATCGGTGAGAAGGTACATTTTCCTCCAGGCAACTGTTTTTTATTAACTCTCCAGCGTCACTGTTGTCTTTTGAAACTGCTGAAGCTATATTTTGACATTTGTGAAGACAACCTAGGGGAAATGAAGGTAATAATATCACTGCAGTTGAAAATGGCTTGTAAAACTGTGTCAATAAATCTCTATATTACAGAGCTGTGCTCCACAAAGGGTTTCACCCAGTTACATCATTCCCTTACCGTAATGTCATCCAGGAATAGAATTCAGAAAATAAGAAAATCACAGATTATGTTAAAGTTACAGATTTTTCTCTAAAATATAACTACTTCTATTCGTTTTCATATGAGGTTGCCAACATTTTGTTTAAATATTATGTATTACCTGTATGGTTTTGACATGGCTGCAGAGATTCAAGGGAGATGGAAATGCCTGAAATGTGTATAAATGAAGGTACTTATATGTGTGCAAGGCAATAAATTCTTTGCATACACAGGCACAACTTAGACATGATTGCAACCCATATATATTTTTCCAAAAGCATTTGCCAAAGGTCACAATACCTCTGTCAGTTCAACAGACCATTATTTGCAAGGATGATTGCTCACTGCCTTGCTTCATATTTGTCAGAAAGCTGGCGTTGTACTTTAGGTTATTTACGCTGTAAAACTTGCCTGACTTAAACCAGTAAAGTAGAATAAAATACAATACACCAAGTCAAATAGTATGCAGTTGAACAATAAAACCCATACTGAAGTGTAAACAGAGCATTGACCCTTCTATGCCTACCAATGTCATCTTAATTATAAGCCTATTGTTTCACGTGAACTATCTCAGCAGGATTTGAAAAGACTTCTAAAACCTGGAATAATAATCTCATTAAAATAAACTCTCCCCCTCCACTGCAGCAGTCTAAGAATCCTTGAGTCATCACGTTCTATACACCGTCTATAGGATGCCGAGAGACATTCCATTGCTGCAGCGGAGGAGACAGGCTTCAGGGAGTGAAGAAGAAGCCAGCCAGCTCTGTGGTTCGCCGAGTTAGTATAACACTTTTTTTTTATTTGCACTTGAACAAAAATGAGCACTTGACTCTTGCCATGTGGGGGTAGCCCCACTGCAAGGGTCAAGAACAATTTTGCCCGGAGTTCTGCTTTTAGGACCCCTTAAAATGTCCTAACGAGGTTGGCTGGTGAACTTTCATTACCTGGCTAATGCCCTGACCCTTCTTTTAAATATTTTATTTCGTTTCCAAAGACAGGAAGCATAACAGTTAATATATGCATACATTTCTGGGTTTAGTTTTAAAAGCTTATGTCAATGAGCCATGTTTTCCTGTGTTTGGAACACGTCATTCATGAGTCTCACTGACTTAAAATTGAGCAGTACACATGGCAGTGTTTGACCTGCTTTGTGTGGCGTTTCTTTGTACCATGTCTTAAAGGAGAACTATGGGGTTAAGGCTTTTCCCCATAGTTCTTCTTAGGGTAACGGGAGGACACAAACTAGCGTCCTCCCGTTACCCTAAGCTCAGTATACCGCGAGCTGTAGCTCGCGGTATACTGAGACACCGCAGTATACCGTGAGCAGCAGCTCGCGGTATACTGAGACGCCGCAGCTGAAGCGGATCCCGACAATTGTGCCAGGATCCGCACAGCTGCGTGACTGACAGCTGGCTCTGCCTATCTAGAGGCAGAGCCAGCTGTCCCCGCCCCCTCCCCGTCCGTTCAGCCAGTCAGCGCTGGCGGATCGGAGCGGGGAGGGGGGAATCCAGTCCCTCCCCTGTCACGGCAGAGAGCCGTGACAGGATCGAGAGGTGAGCGAACGCCGGTATGTGTTCACTCACCTTCCGATCTACTGAGCCGACCTGTGACAGTCTCATTGTCACAGGTCGGCTAGAACTATGAGGTAAGAGAAAAGCACTCATAGTTCTCCTTTAATTATGTACACAATGTACTGTTAATTGTGTATTATACCCAGCTTGGACCAAGTAGATTTTATTAAGATGCGTTTGAATTGCAGGCAAAGCAGGTCACGTGCAGACTTCTTTTTGTCAAATGTTGCATTTGTCATTTGAACACATGAGTTTGCATTTGAATAGCAAATGCCCTGTTTGACATGAACGCTCAGCATCATGAACATTTATAGTATTAGTAAACTAAAGCTGAATGGACCCTCAGTATACATATAACAGAAGTGCTCTTTAAAGCCACCCCGTCGTTTTCCCCTGCAATAGAAAATGTAGAAGTGCATTGACCTGTAGTGACATAGTAGTCGGCATCTGAAACCAGAGCCATCAGCAGGGGAGACGTTCTCCGTTATAGCTGGGAGCTCTTAACAACAGCAAAGGTTTTGCTCACTGCCCACCAGATAGGTAAATAATAATCTATTCTACAAGGAAGGTGATTGGATATTTTAGTTTTTTGAGACGTGACATGGTTTTTCACTGTATTTCTTTAACTCGGTTTACAATCTGTAAATAAAAGGCATATTCTACAATGTACTCACCCTGGCAGGATTTCCAAAAGTCAGATATTCTTAGGTTTTCCCTATTAAAAAGAAAAAAAAGTTCACAGCCAATGCGTTTAAAAGAACTGGCACAAAACCATAAATATCATTCAACCTTCAGACAGAAATGTTAGGTATTTTGGGAAAATTGACACATATTAGACTCATGTGTCATCCATGCGCTGCAAAATGTACATGTACGTACACTAAATCAGCAACTGCAGCCAGCTCCTGTATCCAGAACATGTTTTGCTGAGCTACACAAATAAATAGACAAAAGAAATGACATTACCCTTTCTTCCTATGGGGTGGATATCAGAACCCTCAGTTGCTTATGCTAAGGTCCCTATAGTAGCAATGGTTACATTTATCTGTTAATTCCCTCCATCATTCTCTAGAATTGTTACAATGTATCTCCTGTTACTAAGATGTATTTATTTCTTATGAAATTCAGCTTCATCTAGTGGCCATAATGCAGTATTTTTCCTATTCACGACTGCCCATAGTATTTAAGAAAATTCGACCAGGAAAGAAAATAGAGTATACAAGTGTATATATCCCAGATGGGGCGTTTTGTGATGCCTAACTATACCCATTATACAAAAGATAATTATATCTTTGTCATAAAAAAAAAACATTTATTCATGATATCGGATAAAAACTATAAAGAGCAATAGAAATTGCATACATTATATTGCCTAATACCTGTTCTCTCCACAAGTTTGACAATTTGTACATCATTATTTCCATATAAATATACAACAGCATCATATTAACTTGACTATATTGATGGTACAATTGAGCAATGACAAGGTAAGCTTCCGACATGTTTTGCAAAAATGCTTCTTTAGGAAGAAGGAGGTATATTTACGGTAGCCAACATACACCTGGCACTGGGGGAGTGCCCATCCAGTGAATGGAGCCTGGGAGAACCATAAGGGGGGCACATACATGCCCGCAAGAACTGAGGGAGTCTGGTCTATCCTGTGTTAGTCTATTTTTTTTCTCTAATGTCCAATTCATGGATAACACTTATATACCATCTTCAAGGAGATCAATCTTATAGGTTAAAAGTCGATAACCGTATTCACATAGATCCCTATGCAATTTTTTTTTTTTATTTCAGTAAACAGACCCCAAAGGCATGATTAAACTACAAAATATGTGGTGTGTATATATATATATATATATATACACATGGGATGCACCGATACCGGTATTTTGGTACCGATAATTTTTTTACGGTACTCGCCGATACCAATTACCGAGTAACGGAAGTCCCATTCAGGAAGCCAGGTGGCGTGTAATGTCTCGCCACCCAGCTTCCCGATTAACAAGAAAGTCCCCTCATACCTTGGTATGTCCAGCCTGTCACCCCCGGGGCCTCTCCAGCCAGAACGCGGCCTTCTCCGGTACCCAGCAGGAGCCGTCTGGCCAATCAGGAAGCCGGGCACCGTGTAATGACGTGACGCCCTGCTCTCTGATTGGCCAGGAGGCCGGCTCCATGCTCCCTTCCGCTGGCAATCTTATGCAGATCCTTTAGCTTTACAAAGCGAGTTTTCTTTAATCCGTTGTGACTTTTTGCCTGTTTTCCTCTTACTTACCACCTGCCAATCACCTGACTCCATGCCTGGGAACAGTGAAGGCACCTAAACACAGCAAAAGACATTTACATTAGAAAATAAAAGTATGAACATATTAATTTTTTCAATATCTCTGACAAAAATAACAAGCAGCAATTGCCCAGTACAGGGTTATGTTTAAAGCGGGAAATTAATTTCTCTCATTTAAAGCAACCCAAACTGCTTTAAAATACAACTATAGAGATAATACATACCTTACTAATATAAAACCAGAGAACAACTCTGCAAATCTGTCCCCAGAGATTTTTTATTTTTTTTTACCCGCTTGGTCCAGGCTTTCTTTTTCCTCAAACAACATAGAAAAGTTACAACAAGGCTAGCAATTACAACCAGGACATCAAAGACAACTCTACCATTGCTGTTAGAGTCCCATGTCACTGTTCTCTGCTTGTCATTGGGTTAGCCGGAGATAGAAATGAGGGCTTGGCTTCTGACTTTTCACAAAAGTAAAAATTTGCATATAGGTGCTTAGGCTGCACATTTGGCAGAAGGGAGGAAAATCTGTCAAGAATTTTAATCCTTACCTACAGTACTTTACTCAAAATGAAAAAATATATAGTGTTAGCTTCAGATATACTTTAAACATGTAAATATTTTCTGAAATAAAGTGTGCTGCCCATAGCAAGTATATTTTAGATTGAGACACTGACTAGATGTTCATCTCTTTTGGTTGAAAACAAACTCTGTAAAACAGGGAAGCAAGTTGGTGCACAATAAGTGAATATATAAGCTCTCATGAACAGGGTCCCCTTAACCATCTTGTCTTATTTATTTATTACCGGTATTTATATAGCACTGACAATTTTCCCAGTGCTTTACGTAGTTGCACATTCACATTAGTCCCTGCCCTCAAGGAGCTTACAATCTAAGGTAACTATCTCACATTCATACAAGGGACAATTTAGACAGGAGCCAGTTAACCTTCCAGCATGTCTTTGGAGTGCGGGAGGAAACCGCAGGTGGAATTGAATTGTATTGTAACCGTAATGTCCTCCTTATATTGTAAATATCTGAGCGAACTTAGCGCTATATAAATCCTGCATAATAATAACTATAATTGTGGGACTGAGAGGGGCACAATGGGATAAATTGGGACCTGTAAATTGGGACCATACCCCCAAACTAGCAGTAGTCTCACCTTCAAGAAAATCAACCCACCACGATTTATTTTTAGGGGAAAGGGAGGGAGAGAGACAAGGAAGATGGGAAGAGATTGGCAGAAGGGAAAGGGGGAGAAAGAAAGGAAAAGAAGTCAAGAAGGTGGTGGGGGAGAAGGAAGCAGGGGAGTATAAGAGTGGAAACAGTGTGAGAAAATTGGGCAGAGAGCTCACTCCTTTATCATGCAGAGATAATAGAACAGTGGGAAATGACTGTAGAGGAAGACAAGTACATACAAACTGACGTGGAAGGACAACCAGGCGGTGTTTTTACAGCGATCATTGGATGGGTCAGTCCAGCGTTCACATGTGCTTTTGCGTTCCAACAACAACAACCAACCCGGAAGCTGATTTGCGTTCCAAGCCTCGCTCCTCCACCTGTCATCAGCAGGAGAATGACGTGTATATAGTGCGCCGTTTGTTTGGGAAGTGAGGAAGGAAGTGTAGAAAGTACATGATGTGATGATATAAGAAGAGCAGGTAGGAAGTGGAAGGTGCGTGCTGTCTTTATACGATCCGATCATGGTGTAATTTTACTAATCAGAGCAATGTGTGCCGATCATGTTGTAGCGCAGTAGGGATCAGCATGACAACTTTTAAGAGGATGACGACTATGCTTGGACTTGTGGTTCCACTGCGGCTGAATCATCACAGACAAGGGTTCTACAGTGAGGCAGACAGCACTGTGTAAGGTGCAGTCACTGAGAAGAGGATTTTGGAGGCTCTTTCCTCTGAAATCCTCAAGAATATATTCCTGCACCTTTTTATCTTTTTTGTTGTTTTTAGTTTTAAATAGAGTGGGGGAAGGGGGAGACCACCTGTCAGTGTTTTTATTGCTGTGTCCCCATTGAGGGGAGTCACAATTCTATTTGCACTGGTTGAAACAGAAAGTGAAGCAAAATTCTAAATCAGAACAAAAGGGTGAGGGGAAACTTCTAATGGAGACACCTGTTTCTGGGACACTCCCTATGAAGGGACTTCCACTCACTGGAAGATTTCCTCTAACTTCCTGTTGTGTCTCTGGGACAGGAAGTGAAGGTAAATGTCCCCTGTGGTACACAGACCGCAAAAAATACGCTGGCTGGGGATATAACTCATCCCTACTCCATCTTAAAGGAAAAACCTTTTGGCTATACACACACTTTTTAAAGTGTAGCTGCAGATTAGTTGTAGATAGAGGGTAGAAGGATTAGGTTCTAATTGCTGCGTGTCCCCGCTGGAGATATTTCGGTGACCACATAGATAGATCTTCCTGGAGAAATACAGTCTTGTGTTTGTGTCTTAAGGCTCCACAATCTCTGTCCACTTTCTGTGACTTCATCCTGCCACCTTATTGCTGGTTGTCGTCCTCTTTTCCCCTCAACTTTACCAAGCTTAATTGTCTTCTGCGGTGATTTGGATCATCTCATTTTATGTTAAACATGTGACAGCTTCAGCCTAGTCCTCTGCACTTCTAGTGACAGGAAGGCATGATTTGTTGAAAGTTCCATTTGCTGGTTTTCCTTGCTTCATGGTATTCATAGAATCCTTCACCAGCATTCCAAGACATCAATAGTTTTCTTGTCCTGCTTCTACATCCATAGAGAGTGACAGTAAGTACCATAATCTGGGCCAGGGGTGGGTAACTCCGGCCCTCTAGCTGTTCCGGAACTACAAGTCCCAGGAGACATTGCAAGATTGACAGTTCCAGGCACGACTCCCAGCGACAGAAATGTTGAGATTTACAGTTAAAGTTAAGCTGGAGTTGCCCACCGCTAGTCTGGATGGTTCTGATCTTTTGTACTTGTAAACACATCTGGACTTTTGAAGATCTTTTCTAGGTTTTGCTTACGAACGATTAGTCTGTCATTTTTTTATGCATGTTAGATTTGAGGTTATTACATTATCTAAGGGGGCAGAAGCTGTGTACTATTTCTATGTCTGAAGTATATGGCAATAAAGGCTTGACAGAGGTCCTGATCCATCCCCACACTCTTTTTTTTGCTCTGGTGACTACTATTGGCGAAATCTCAGCAGTAATATTATTTATTACTGGTATCTATATAGCGCCAACAATTTACACAGCGCACTATCACATCAGTACCTGCCCTCAAGGGACTTGCAATCCAAGGTCCCTATCGTACATGCATATAGGGCCAATTTAGGCAGCAGATAGTTAACTTACCTGCATGTCTTTGGAGTGTGGGAGGAAAGGACACTTCTCGTAGATAGTGTCAGGGACCAGGACTTGAACCAGGGATCCCCAGTGCTGCAAGGCAGAAGTGCTAACCACTACGCCACTGTGGTAATGGAGGTAAAATGTCAGGCAGAGGTTCTTATGTGTAATTCTTCTTCTTGTAGAGATATAAAAAGAAAAAGCTAGTCATTTCCTGTTTTGGTGACCACTGTGTCTTTGGGCAGGAAGTAACCGGAAATGTCTGCAGTAGGGAAGCATACAGCAATAAAAGTCTGACAGAGGTTGTAATGTTTCCTTTTTTTATAGGGAAAGAGGTTTCCAGTTGTGTTCATTTCCATTTCCTGGTCATTTTCTGTTCCTTGTGACCACTGTCTGCGGGACAGGAAGTAGGGGAAATCTCTGCAATGGGGAGGCAAACTGCAATAAAACCTTGACAGAGGTTCTAATCTGCCCCTGCTCTACTTAGATTTTACTGTTCTGATGACTACAGTCTCTGGAAGAGGAAATCTCTCCAACGGAAACAGAGATGACAATGAATAACTGACAGGGGGTCTACTACATCTCCATTGTATTTAGCTGGTTGTGGACCAGGAAGTATAGAGCTGAGGGGCCTTTTTATGAGAAAACCTCGCTGTTTCTCCTTTCTTCATTTAGACAGTTCTGCCTGTTTATAAGCTGTGGTGGGGAATTTCTTCATCTGGTTGATTGGATTTGGCCAACTTAAGGATTTCCTTCCTGATTTTTCTAAACGGGGTTTGTGACACCATTAAAATGCACACTGCAATCCCTTGCTAAGTGCCTGGCAGGCTGTGGCAGCACAATCCTACTGACTTCAATGGGTGCGTTTGGCACAGAGCACCACCTGTGAAACGTGACATGCCAAGTTAGATTTGCCACCTGAGTGGCCACTATATTCCGTTATAAGTAGGCAGTTGGGCGGTAAAAACACAGAACAGCCGCCAGTATTACCACCCATGTGAACTTAGCCAGAGGGCTTATGTAGACAGGCGTTGCCAAATACTACCTATAACATTTGAACGCAGCTCTGCTCTAACGCACATGTTCGAGAGCAAAGCGTGGCAAAAGGCTGTGAGTGAGCTTCTTTTGTGTGCAATGCAAACACTTCTCAATAGGATCAGCTGCACCCAAAGTAACGCAAAGCAGGGCATACACGGCCTCAGGCCCCATTCACACTGAGCGGAAAATCCCGCGAGAAGTCGCCGGCCAATTATTTTCAATGGAGCTGTCTTAGGCCCCGTTCACATGTAGCGAATTATCGCACGATTTCCGCCGCGATATCGCGAGAAGTCGCCGGCCAATGCTATTCAATGGAGCTGTCTTAACTCCATGTCGCTCGTCGCGGTCGCAAGTCGCTTCTACCGGACCCTTTTTTCGGCGGATTTTGCGCGATTTTGCCCTTTTTCTATGGAGCCCGACGGAGAAGGTCGCGCTACCGTCGCTGGAACGTCGCCCCGAAAGTCGCGCTATCCCGGCCGTGCGGATCCGCTGCAAAAGGTATGTCGCTACGTGTGAATGGGGTCTTAATGTACAGCTCCATGTCGCAGTCGCAAGTCGCGTCTGCAGGACCCTTTTTCCCACGGATGTCGCGCAAATTTCCTTTTTTTTTTACATTTAATGCAGCCCGACGGTGATGGTCGCGTGGAAATCCACTCGAGGTAAGTGTCGCTTAGTGTGAATGGGGCCTCAGAGCTGTCATCCACACAACACCATAATAGTAAATGGGAATCTGATGACCTGTGTTTGATGTGCATTTTAAACACAAGAAAACAACAACACTCTATAAACCTGGAGTAATCTATAATTCATGGAGGGAATGTTCAGCACATTTATTATTCTAACCCAGTGGTGGCGAACCTTGGCCCCCCAGCTGTTTTGGAACTACAAGTCCCATGAGGCATTGCAAGGCTCTGACAGCCACAGATATAACTCCCAGAGGCAGATGCATGTGCGAATTTGTAGTGCTGGAACAGCTGGAGTGCCAAGGTTCGCCACCACTGTTCTAACCTGTCTATGTTTTGCAGATTGCAACACATGTTTACCCCTATAAACTGAAGAACAAAGCAGGTTGCAATTAGCAGTGATCTAGTTGAAGTGCTTTTATTGAGCTATATCATTAGGCCTTCCTTGAATAAGAATGGGGCACATTGCCTGAAACCCCAGCTGATCACCAGTGGAAATTCTAGTTTCCTGGTTGTCATGTTGATCCTTTTGGCTTTATTGTTTTCTTCGACCATGTTGCAGATGATGACTTCTGTTTTTACTTGCTGCATGCTTGTGCCACATCAGTGACTCAAAGTATTAAAGCTAGAGACAGAACGGCAGTCAGAGGAGGTGTTCCAGAATGTTCATTAGGGAAATAATAGCAGTCCACACAACTTCACATAAAAGGGGGCCTTTAGATAAAACTAACACATATATATTTAGTCCATCGGGTTCAGACGGGGGGGGGGGGGGGGAAAAAAAAAAAATCACAAAATAAAA